GTGGTAAGGGAAGTGATTTAGTATTTGAAGAAACTAGCTGTGCAATAGGAGATTAGTGAGCCCGGGCCGTAGTTGAGACGATACGAAGCTCAAGAGTAGTTGGTATATGAAGTGATGGGATTTGTTGAGGCTGAAAAGTTGGTATCTGAGTAAAGTATTAAGCACCAAAGAAAGATTGGACTTCTTTAGGAAGGAAGAATTCCGAGCAAAGGAGTAACGTGGGCCGGGCGGTGGTGGCGCACGCCTTTAATCCCAGCACTCTGGAGGCAGAGGCAGGCGGATCTCTGTGAGTTCGAGACCAGCCTGGTATACAAGAGCTAGTTCCAGGACAGGCTCCAAAGCCACAAAGAAAAACCAAAAAAAAAAAAAAAAAAAAAAGGAGTAACGTGGTTTTTGTTGAGAGATCTTCCCTCTGCTAATCGGAGGTGGAAGTTAGAAGTGGTGTGGTCAATTAGATTATTACACCATCTGATTTGCCTGAAGTCAGTGACGAGCAATTCTAGTGGACTAGAGCAGGTTCATTCTGTAGGAAGGATGCAAAGGCAAGACAGAGTGTTGGAAGTCTGGCGTGGCTCTCATGTGCTCCTGCCTTGGGGTCTTCGCACTTTCTGTTCATTGTGAGTAGAATGTTCTTCACTTAGAAGACTCACTTCCTGTCTTCATAAGGTTGTCTTTCTGACCAAATCAGCTAATAAATGTAGCCTCCATTAAACTCCATTGCATCAACCTGCTTTATTTCTTCTCGCTGCATTTTTCTGTCTGGCTCCCACTCTAGAAAGTCTCCCTCCTTTCTGCCATCGTACTGCCATCCCCAGGCCAGATGCTGGAAACACATTTACTGCATGGCTTCCTCCTTTACACCACCTGCCACTCAGTCTTCCTTCGCTGCCGATTCTCTACTGTTACCCTCTTGACCTTTGTCCTACCAAGTTGTTTCCAGACTGATCTACTTACTCCGGAAAGGAGCCAGAGAGGCCTTTAAACATGCCACTTAGGTCTGTTGCCCTTGCTTAAATCCTTCAGTTGCGCTTTCTTCCTCGTCTTTCAGGCCCTGTGGACACTTCGCTCTGCCTCATGCCACCGCCTCAGTGTTCTCAAGTCCCAGGATCAGATACACTTTTTGTATTTTGGCCCTTTTGTGTGCTCTGAGGCCTACCTGACATCCACCTCTGTTTTTGTATATGTTTAAATGGCAGAGTCCTTCTCATTCTTAAGGACTTCTTTAAGTCTGTACTGCTCAGTTAGGCATCCCTTTACCCTTATTGAGAGACATGTTTATGCCACTTGACATCTGACTTTACTTGTTTGTGCACTTATGTCTGTTTGTACATCTTTGTTGTGTGTCTTCCTTTGCCATCCACCCAAGCCCAGAAAGACAACTTTTTAAAAATTTGTTTTTATTGAGCTATACATTTTTCTCCATTCCCCTCCCTTCCTCTGCTCTCCCCTTCTACCCTCTCCTGTGATCCCCATGCTCCCAATTTACTCAGAAGACCCTGTCTTTTTCTCTTTCCTATGTAGATTCTTATATCAGTCTCTTAGAGTCCTCTTTGTTGTCTAGGTTCTCTGGGGTTGTGGACTGCAGGCTGGTTTTTCTTTGCTTTATGTCTAAAAGCCACTTATGAGTAAATACATATTTATCTTTCTGAGTCTGGATTATCTCACTCAATATATTTTTTGTAGATCTAACCATTTGCCTGCAAATTTCAAGATACCATATTTTTTACTGCTGTATAGTACCCCATTGTGTAAATGTACCACATTTTCAAAAGACACTTAAGGAAATGCTCAGCATCCTTAGTCATCAGAGAAATGCAAATCAAAACAACTCAGATTCCATCTTACACCTGTTAGAATGGCCAAGATCAAAAACACTGACAGCTTATACTGGAGAGGTAAGGGGAACACTCCTCCATTGCTGGCAGGAGTGCAAATTTGTATAACCACTTTGAAAATCAATATGGCGATTTCTTAGAAAATTAGGAAACAATCTACCCCAAGACCCAGCTATACCACTTTTGGGTTTATACCCAAAGGATTCTCAATCATACCACAGGGACGCAGCATTATTCGTAATAGCCAGAACCTGAAAATGATCTAGAATAGATGACTTTTAATGTATCTGTCTATGAAGTGCTTTGGTGTGTACTCTGAAAACATGCTGAGCAATAATGCCTAAGCAAAGAGAGTCCAAGATTTAAATATTTCTCCTTCCCATCCTGGGGCACTTCTTCCCTGGCTATGGTTACATTCTACCTAGGGATCAGATTGCAACTGTGATTTAATCCATTGCCATTCAAGGATATAAGACTTCCCACCGGAAGCATAAAACAAGGCATGTTATTACCCTTTCCCCCTTTTTTGAGACAGGGTCTGACTCATGTAGCCTGGCTGATCTGGAACTCACTATGTAGACCAGGCTGGCCTCAGACTCAAATCTCCCTGCCTCTACCTCCTAAGTTGGGGAGCTAAAGATGTGTGCCATCATGTTCCGTTACACTTAGCTTTTGAAGGCAAGTCTTGATCTCATTTTTCTCAGTTAAAAGCCAATAGTTAGGGCCTAATCTAGTGGCATACTTTGCAATCTCAGCACCCATGAAGTAGAAACAGGAAGACCAGGAGTTAAAAGCCAGCGCGAACTACATGAGAAGTTCTAGGCTAATCTGGGCTGCAGAGACATACCCTGCCTAGAGCACTTAAAAATCCCCAAGCCTAAACCAGGATTACACACCTGTAATCCCAGAACTCAGGAGAATCATTAGCTCAAGGCTAGTGCGTCTGAAAACAATTTAGGTAGTAGCTCAAGAGTTTGCATAGCACACACATAAATGTGTACAAAATATAAAGAACAGTAACATAAAAGCACCAGCAGAAACCCAAAAGAAATTGGAGAGAACTGAACCTTTGAAAGATAGGAGCCTCTCTGTATAAGAATAGTTCATTTGGCTTTTCTTATGAGAGCCTTCCTCAGGGTAGTTGGAGGCTAGACTCTAAGGAAAAAGCCACAATTAATGTTTTTATAAGATGGACCTTGGAGCTTTCAGGGTGACGATTCTGAGGAAGAAATCTCAGAAAGGAGACACTTGCCAGGCAGTGGTAACACCTTTATTTAATCCCAGCACTCGGGAGGCAGAGGCAGGTGGATCTCTGTGAGTTCGAGGCCAGTCTGGTCTACAGAGCTAGTTCCAGGACAGGCACCAAAGCTACAGAGAAATCCTGTCTCGAAAAAAGAGAAAAAAAGAAAGAAATGCCTGTGTGTGCGCGCGCGCGTGTGTGTGTGTGTAATGTAAACTCAAAGTGCTTACAATGAATGAGCAAATAGAGGTTTCAAGCTGAGGCATAGGAAATGAAACGGGAGGGGGGGACCTATTTGAAATCCTAGAACTGTCAAAAAAAAAATTGAAAGGAATTGAAAAGTGAAACAACCCTTGGCCAGCACAGGAGTGGGAGCAGAATGGGATGTCGGAAAGATGACCATGACTTTCTTGCAGAAAGGCTTGTGTTCTGCTTAGAATAAAGCTCATGACTGTCTACTGTGTCTTAAACCGCATGGAAGGGTTTCTGATAGTAACCCGCAGGAGGGGTAGCGTGGAATTTCGTGATTATAAGGATCTGTTACTTGGTGAAGTACAGTTTGAAATCCAAGTGAACTGAAATAAATTAATGCTGTGTGATGAATCTTTGGTGCAGCCATCAAATAAATACAAACACAAACACAAATACATGCACACATGTATGAGGAAGGAAATATGGCTAAAGGTGAAAAGGAAAATTTACATTTGAATAATTCAAGGAATGAAATACAGAAGAATAAAATTAGTACAAAAAACAGCAAAATCAAAACTTTAAATCCATACCAATAATTATTTCTGTTTTTCTTTCTTTTCTTTTCTTTTCTTTTTTTTGGTTTGTCAGACAGGGTTTCTCTGTAACTTTAGAGCCTGTCCTGGAACTAGATCTTGTAGACGAGGCTGGCCTCAAACTCACAGCGATCCACCTGCCTCTGCCTCCCAAGTGCTGAGTTTAAGGTGCGTATGCCACCACTGCCTGGCTGAAAGATTTATTTTTATTTTATGTATTTTATTTTATGTCTGTATGTATGTGTACTATATGCATGGGCACTAGAGTTACAGACAGGCATGAGCTTACATGTGGGTGCTGGGAATAGAACCCTGGTCCTCTGGGAGAGCAGTCAATGCTCTTACTGCTGAGCTGTCTCTCCAGTCCCTCAAATTCCAATTCTTAAGCTTAAGTTCCGCTGCAATGTATTTCATAAAAGTTCAAATGCCCAGGCCCTAAACAAGTTTCATTAAATTTCAAAAGGCTAAAGCATTTCGGTGTATATGACCACAACAGATTAAAATCAGAAGTCAATGGCTTTGAGCTACTTAAAAGAATCCTAGCTTTCTTATTTAGAGGTCGAGAAGAATTCCCAAGGACACTAGAAACTATTGCAAATGGAATTCCATGAAAAAAAAAAAAAAACATCAAGATTTACGGAATGTTCCAGATTGCCATTTGAAAAAGGAAACTTAAAACGACTCACGTGCTTTTAAAAATACAGGGACAACTATAGTAAAGACGTAATCCAGAATCCTCTTTTAAGAAACCGGTGCAAGTAGGGTGGTGGTGGCAATACCTTTAATCCCAGCACTGGGGAGGTAGGCGCAGGCAAATCTTTGCCTTCGAGGCCAACCCGGTTTATGGGGCTCTTTTGACTGCCAGGGTTTCACAGAAAAACCCTGTCTCAAACAAACTCTGTCCCTGCCCATCAAACCCAGAGGCATCTAGTCTAATATGCCCTGGCGATCTGACACAAACCCGGTGTTCCTAGGTTAGTTACACAAACTGGCCTAAAGAAAGCAAAAGAAGGGGGGCGGGGGGAACAGGACCCCAATTGATTTTGGCTTGAGTGATTTAAAAAAACAAAACAAACAAACAACAACAACAAAAAATACACCATCAGCCTGAGAGCCCGCATCGCATCGGGGACCACTCACCATCCTGGAGCCAGGGACCCATGTAGCTGAGGATGTAGGTGGGGTCCAGAGTCTTCCTGACATAGTCTCTGAATGCTTGCAGATTCTGCCGCTGTTCAGCTGTCATTCTGTGGCTCCCCGCGAGCGAGGAGCGCCCTGGCTCCCCAAAACTCGCAGCGGATTTGAGCGCAGAGGGGACTTTTCTAGGCTAGGAGGCACCCTAGGGACAAGCGGCCAGGGCCAGTGCCTGGAAACCGAAACTGCCTCTCAGCGCTGGGGGCGGGGATCCAATTAAGTTTCGTTTCTGATCCACGGAGCCTGAGCCCCTGGCCAGGAGGCACCCAAAGGAACCTTGGCAACTGCCTTGAAGTTTGTGCATTGCTTTTGGAGTGGTGCGGTTTGTATTATAAAGTCCGCACAGTTCAAGTGTACAGTTCAATGATTTTCGAAAAATGGAGACACCGGTAACCACTTCGGCCAGATCAGCTGGGTCCTCCTGTAATCTCCGTTTTCACTTTATTAAGAAACTATCACCTCTTTTCCATACCAGTTTGCATCCCCACTCATAGAATTAAAGAACTAAAATTGACTAGCATCCGCTAGGTACCAATAACCTTTCTTTCTTTCTTTCTTTCTTTCCTTCCTTCCTTCCTTCCTTCCTTCTTCCCTCCCTCCCTCCCTCCCTCCCTTCTTTCTTCACTTATTTATTACATTTTTAAGACAGGGCTTATTTATTTGTTTCTTTGTTTTTGTTTTGTTTTGTTTGGTTTGGTTTGGTTTTTGGTTTTTCGAGACAGGGTTTCTCTGTAGTTTTGGAGCCTGTCCTGGAACTAACTCTGTAGACCAGACTGGCCTCGAACTCACAGAGCCTGCCTCTGCCTCCCAATTGCTGGGATTCAAGGCATGTGCCACCACCTCCCTGCCCCCCACCACGGGAGGGCTCTGATTTCTCTCATCAGCACCTTACAGTTCCAAGGGTACAAATCTTACATGAAATTAATTCTATGTTCTTTTTTATTGATATTTATTGAGCTCTACATTTTTCTCTGCTCCACTCCCTGCCTCTCTCCTCCGCGCTTCAACCTTCCTCCAAGGTCGCCCACCAAGCTCCCAATTTACTCGGGAGATCTTGTCTTTTTCTACTTTCTACTTCCCATGTAGATTAGATCTATGTAAGTCTCTCTTAGTGTTCTCATTGTTGTCCAAGTTCTCTGGGATTGTGGTTTGTAGGCTGGCTTTCTTTATGTTTAAAAACCACCTATGAGTGAGTACATGTGGTAATTGTCTGGGTTACCTCACTCAAAATAATGTTTTCTAGCTCCATCCATTTTCCTGCAAAATTCAAGCTGTTGCTATTTTTTTCTGCTGTGTAGTACTCCATTGCATAAATGTACTACATTTTCCTTATCCATTCTTCTGTCGAGGGGCATTTAGGTTGTTTCCAGGTTCTGGCTATGACAAGCAAAGCTGCTATGAACATAGTTGAGATTGAGGGGCATTTAGGTTGTTTCCAGGTTCTGGCTATGACAAACAAAGCTTCTATGAACATAGTTGAGATCGAGGGGCATTTAGGTTGTTTCCAGGTTCTGTCTATGACAAACAAAGCTGCTATGAACATAGTTGAGCACATGTCCTTGTGGCACGATTGAGCATCCTTTGGATATATACCCAAAAGTGGTATTGCTGCGTCTTGAGGAAGGTTGTTTCCTCATTTTCTGAGAAATTGCCACACCAACATCCAAAGAGGCTGGCCCAGCTTGCATTCCCACCAGCAATGCAGGAGTATTCCCTTTATCCCACAAATTCTCCAGCATAAGTTGTCATCAATGTTTTTGATCTTGGCCATTCTTACAGGTATAAGATGGAATCTCAGAGTTGTTTTGATTTGCATTTCTCTGATGACTAAGGGTGTTGAACATTTCCTTAAGTGTCTTTCAGCCATTTTATATTCCTCTGTTGAGAGTTCTCTGTTTAGGTCTGTACTCCATTTTTTTTATTGGATTATGTGATCTTTTAGTGTCCAATTTCTTGAGTTCTTTGTAATTTTGGAGATCGGACCTCTGTCTGATGTGAAGATCTTTTCCCATTCTGTAAGCTGTCGTTTTGTCTTGTTGACCTTGTCCTTTGCTTTACAGAAGCTTTTCAGTTTCAGGAGGTCCCATTTATTAATTATTTTTCTCAGTGTCTGTGCTGCTGGGGTTCTATTTAGGAGATGGTTCCCTGTGCCAATGCATTCAAGTGTACTTCCGCCTTTCTCTTCTATAAGGTTCAGTGTGGCTGGCTTTATGTTAAGGTCTTTGATCCATTTGGACTTGAGTTTTGTGCATGGTGATAGATATGGGTCTATTTTCATTTTTGTACATGTTGATATCCAGTAATGCCAGCACCACTTGTTAAATATGCTTTCTTTTTTCCATTTGATATTTTTTGCTTCTTTATCAAATATCAGGTGTTCAAAGATGTGTGGATTGATATCCGGGTCTTGGATTCGGTTCCACTGGTCCTCCTGTCTGTTCTTATGCCAATACCAGGCTGTTTTCAGTACTGTAGCTCTGTAATAGAGTTTCAAGTCAGGGATTGTGATGCCTCCAGAAGTTCTTTTATTGCACAGGACTGTTTTGGCTATCCTGGGTTTTTTGCTTTTCCAAATGAAGTTGAGTACCGTTCTTTCGAGGTCTTTGAAGAATTTTGCTGGGCATTTCTATGTTCTTTAACACTAATGTAAATGGAATTGTTCTTGAATTTTCATTTTCAAATTGTTGCTATCATACAGAAATAAAGGTAGATTTTGTTTGCTGACCTTATATCATACAACAGTGCTAAATCAATGCCTCCGGAGTGCTGGGATTAAAGATGTGCCCCACCACCACGTCTGGCGACTTTATTTATGACTTTTATTAATTTCCATGTCCCCAGTCTTGGTGCTTTTTATTTCCTTTTCTTTCCTTCTGCAATCCTGAGGCTCTAAAAGAAAACTGATTAAAAAAAAAAGTGATGAGAATTGGCCAACTTTATCCCTTAATCCTGCTTGGAAACGACCAGAGATTTTGGTGTAATTCACTTTCTGTTTCTGTGATAAAACAGTGACCCCGTGGGTTTATTTGGCTTCCTATTTTCAAATCTATCATCAGGGGATCCAAAGCAGGAACTCAAGGCACTGAAGCAGAAACCGTGGGGCGGCAGAGGAGAGCAGTTACCGGCTTGCTTGCTCTGCCTTGTTCAGAATGCCTTTCTTAGAGCCCAGAGCAGCCTGCCTAGGGATAATATGCTTCAGGTGTGATAGGTATCGCCAGCAGCAGTCAACATGTGCCACGCAGAGGGCAGGCAGACCAGGCTGCTGGAGGCCACTCTCAGCTGAGGTTCCCTCAGTCTAGGTTTCTGTCGACTGGACATAAACTCCGACAGATGCTCTCAGTCAGATTAATGACATTTTCTTTCATTTCTAGTTTTTAAGTTTTCTTCTTCTTTAGCATGAATGGGTGTTGAATTTTTTTCAACTTAATTTGTTAACACGCCAGATTTTATTGATTTTATTGTTTTGTTTGAGACAGGGTCCTATGTAGTCTAAAATGGCCCGAAACTCACTATGAAGCCTAGGATGACCCTTGAGCTGTCCCTCCTACTTCTGCCTCTAGAATGCTGGTATTGAAGGTTTGTGCTGACATGTTTGTCTCATTGATTGACTTGTGAAAGTTAAATAGGCCTAGAATTCCTGGGATAAGTCTCTCTTGGTGACGAAGTAACATCTTTTTTACTATACTTCTGTATTCAATTTACTAGTATTTTCATACAATGGGTCGTTTTTAATTTGTCTCTGTTCATAAAGGATATTGGTCTGCGATTTTCATGCAATGCTTTCTGTGCTGGTGTCCTGTTTTCACTTTAAGTATTAACGGAGTTCACCAAGGAGACCGTTTGGGCTGGGAGTCACAGTTGTCGCATATGTTTGGATTCAATCTCTTTATTACACATAAGGCTATTCATATGGTTTTAAACCTTACCTTGAATCAGTTTTGGTAAATTGTGATCTTATTTTCAAATGCCCAAATAATTAAATGAGAATCTATTAGGCTGGAGCACCTTGAAGGCCCAGAAAAGGGGCCTTAAAAACAGAGGGGAGACAAGCTCGGGCAATCACAGGCCTATTAGCACCTCAGGGTGGCAGGAGGAAAGAAAAGGAAATGAAAAGCACCAAGACTGGGGACATGGAAATTAATAAATGTCATAAAGACACCATAGGCGGTGGTGGGGCGCACCTTTAATCCCAGCACTCCAGAGACATCAGTTTAGCGCTGTTCCATGATCTAAGGTCAACAAACAAAATCTACCTGTGTTTCTGTATGGTAGCAAGCATTTGGAAATGAAAATTCAAGAACAATTCCACTTACCTTAGTGTTAAAGAACATAGAATAAATTTAATGTAACATATGTAAAACTTGTACCCTTGAAACTGTAAGGTGTGGGCTGGAGAGATGGCTCAGAGGTTAAGAGCACTGGCTGCTCTTCCAGAGGTCCTGAGTTCAATTCCCAACAACCGCATGGTGGCTCACAACCTTCTGTAATGAGATCTGGTATACAAGTATACATGCAAGCAGAACACTGTACATATAATAAATACATAAATCTTTTTAAAAAAAGAAACTGTAAGGTGTCAATGAGAGAAATCAGCGCTCTCCTGTGGCTGGGGGGGGGAGGCACAGAGATGGTGGGGCACGCCTTGAATCCCAGCAATTGGGAGGCAGAGGCAGGCGGATCTCTGTGAGTTTGAGGCCAGTCTGCTCTACAAGAGCCATTTCCAGGACAGGCTCTAAAGCTACAGAGAAACCCCGTCTCGAAAAACCAAAAAACAAACCAAAACAACAACAACAACAAAAACCAAAGAAACAAATGATAAGCCCTGGCTTATAAAGCTAATAAATAAATAAAAAAGGAAGGAAAGAAAAAAAGAAAGAAAGAAAGAAAAGAAAAGAAGGAAGAAAGGTTATCGGTACTTAGTGGATGCAAGTCAATTTTAGTTCTTTAATTCTATGAGTGGGGATGCAAACTGGTATGGAAAAGAGGTGATAGTTTCTTAATAAAGTGAAAACGGAGATTACAGGAGGACCCAGCTGATCTGGCCGAAGTGGTTACCGGTGTCTCCATTTTTCGAAAATCATTAACTGTACACTTGAACTGTGCGGACTTTATAATACAAACCGCACCACTCCAAAAGCAATGCACAAACTTCAAGGCAGTTGCCAAGGTTCCTTTGGGTGCCTCCTGGCCAGGGGCTCAGGCTCCGTGGATCAGAAACGAAACTTAATTGGATCCCCGCCCCCAGCGCTGAGAGGCAGTTTCGGTTTCCAGGCACTGGCCCTGGCCGCTTGTCCCTAGGGTGCCTCCTAGCCTAGAAAAGTCCCCTCTGCGCTCAAATCCGCTGCGAGTTTTGGGGAGCCAGGGCGCTCCTCGCTCGCGGGGAGCCACAGAATGACAGCTGAACAGCGGCAGAATCTGCAAGCATTCAGAGACTATGTCAGGAAGACTCTGGACCCCACCTACATCCTCAGCTACATGGGTCCCTGGCTCCAGGATGGTGAGTGGTCCCCGATGCGATGCGGGCTCTCAGGCTGATGGTGCGGGGTTTTTTGTTTGTTTGTTTTTTTTTTTAAATCACTCAAGCTAAAACCAATTGTGGTCCTGTGTTCCCCCCGCCCCCCTTCTTTTGCTTTCTTTGGGCCAGTTTGTGTAACTAACCTAGGAACACCGGGTTTGTGTCAGATCGCCAGGGCATATTAGACTAGACAGCGTCTGGGTTTGATGGGCAGGGACAGAGTTCCCGCAAAGTGAGTAGTAACTTGTGGAAATCATCTGTGAGTCTCTGGTCCTGGCAGGAGAGATTAAGAAGAACCGCTCCCCGCCCCCCACCGTAGATTTGCTGTACAGAGCAAGGCTTTAGGGCAAAGGCGGAGGTGAGGAGCTCGTGAAACATGAGGACTGAGGTACATGACAAAATGCTATCAAAGGATGTTGCTAACGGGAAGCCCGTAGAGGAAAACTTTCCCCAGACTCCACGTGCTTAGGGTTTTGTACAGCGTTTCATTTCCAGCTTTTTTTTTTTTTTGAGACTTGTTTGAGACACTTTGTAGATTGTCATGAGTGCTTCCACCCGAGATGAGCAAACGGAGATGTCCACCGAGGGGTGATGGGAGGCGACCGGGTGACAGTTGTTACTTTTCATTTGACTAGTCCTTGCTGTCTTTCCTGGTGTTGGACGGTGGTGCAAACTACAGGTTAATCCTGGGCTTCTTTGCTCTGCAATTTAAACAGTTTGTTCACGCCAGGCGGTGGTGGCGCACGCCTTTAATCCCAGCACTCGGGAGGCAGAGGCAGGCGGATCTCTGTGAGTTCGAGACCAGCCTGGTCTACAAGAGCTAGTTCCAGGACAGGCTCCAAAACCACAGAGAAACCCTGTCTCGAAAAACCAAAAAAAAAAAAAAAAAAAAACCCCACACACACACACACACACAAAAAAAAACCCAGTATGTTCAGTGAGGCAGAGAAAACCCCTCAGGGTCCCCACTCCCAGTTCTGCTAGAGAGAAGTAGAAAAAGACACCCTAATGACTGGACTAGCCTTGAACCCTGAGGACAGGAAACCCACACAAGACACCTCAGTTTACAAGTGCTGTGACTTCCATTCTTTTAATCTTATCATTCCTCTCTGGTTAGTTTCCTTCCCTCCCCCAAATGGTCCCCTGTTCTGCTTTCATTTTCTTCTCTCTCTCTCTCTCTCTCTCTCTCTCTCTCTTTTTCACCTTCCCTTCCCCTCCTTCCCTCCCTCTCTCCCTTTCTTTTTCTTTTTCTCTTTCTTTTTTCTTTTGGCTTTTCGAGACAGGGTTTCTCTGTGTTGCTCCAGCCTGTCCTGGAACTAGCTCTTGTAGACCAGGCTGGTCTCGAACTCACAGAGATCCACCTGCCTCTGCCTCCCAAGTGCTGGGATTAAGGTGCGTCACCAAGTGTGTTCCATCTCTCTCTCTCCCTCTCTTCCCCGTCTAAGGAATCTTCCTTCCCTCTTCCCTCTCAGGAGGCCTTTTCAGTTTCATGAGTTTTAGGATTTTTTTTAATAGTCTGTAAAGATGATGTGAAGATTTGAGTTTTTTTATGTGGATTGTTGATATCCTACTAATTCTGCCCATCTTGGGAGATCTTTTTATCTTCTGCTATCTTCATGAATTTTTTTCTTTGGTGTCTTGAAAGGTTAGCCTGTAGTAGCCTTTCACCTCTTTTGGTTAGAGTTTGTTTGAAGCTATTGTGGATGACATCCCCTCTTTTCCCATTTCTTCCTGGGCAAGGCTGTTTGTTATTGGTATGTAGGAAAAGCTACCGTTTTCTCTATGTGTACTGCGTATCCTGCCACTCTGGTGAAAGTTTTTGTGAGGGCTGAGTTTTCTCGTGGAGTCTTTGGGGTCCTTTTAGGATTATATTATCTGCAAATAGAGATAATTTGACTTCTCCCTTTCCTAGTTGGGTCAGTTTTATTTATGTCTCTTGTATTGTTCTAGCTGAGACTTAAAGCGCTATATTGAATAATAGGCACCTTGTCTTGTTCCAGATTTTAGAGAAAATGCTCCTAGTTTCTCCTATTTAGAACAATATTGTCTGTAGGTTTGCCATTGTATATTTAAAAAAAAACATAAAGAAGCACAAATGACCCAAAATAGCCAAGGCTATCATTAACAGAAGGACAGTGCACCCCTGTCAGCTCGGCTGTCTAGCAAGGAATCAGGTAACAACAAATGCTGACAAGAATGTGGAGGAAGCTGGGTGGTGGCAGCACACACCTTTAATTCCAGCACTTGGGACATAGAGGCAGGCAGAGCTCTGTGAGTTTGAGGCCAGCCTGGTCTACAGGAGCTAGTTCCAGGACAGGCACCAAAGCTACAGAGAAACCTAGTCTCGAAAAAAACCAAAAGAAAAAAAAAACTCAAAATCCAACATAGCACAGAGAGGCTTACACACCTGGGTCTATCTCTTATCTCTGCACTTTTTCATGTCAGCGAGGACAGTGAGAACCCCTGAAATAACAGCTCCACTCTTAGGGGAAGGTTTTTTTATTATAGATGTGAGAGAGAGCAAGCACAGGTATCTGGGAGAGTCCAGAGCAGAGAGACAAGGAAGCAGGCCGGCCTCGCCATGGCAACCCTTTTGGAGCAGAGAAAATAGCAGGGGGAAGCAAGAGAGGAGAATAGTGGGGGGTGGGGTGGGGGCAACCTGGGGGAGACACCTGATGATTCACAATGGCTGGAGATAGAACCAACCTAAAAGTCCATCAGTGGGTGGGTAAATGGATAGATGGATGGATGGATGGATGGATGGAAATTTCTAAGACTGCTTCCATTTGGAACATGGAGTTTGGGGTAACCTAAATCTGTATTCCTGAGCCGTGGTCACTGAAAATGGCCCCAGAATAAACGGTCTGTCTCTTATTCCCTTTAAGATGAAATCTATTGTTTTGTATTGTTCTTTGTTTTTTTCTGTCTTGAACACTTGCATTGTAGAAGTCTTTGAACTTTGGTTAGGGCTTGTTGCTTGTTTGAGGCTATTGTGATTAGTAACCCCCTATTCTGGTCTCTTTCTCGCCAAGTTTGCTAAAGGCATGTCAGAAAGCTACTGGCTTGTATGTTCGTCAGAAAAAAGGTTTTTTTCTTCCTCCCTCCCTCTCTCCTTCCTGCCATGTACTAATCTAATTGCGCTGTCAGAGTAATGCTAGCTTTGTAGGATGTGTGTCCCTTCCCCTTCTGGTCTATGTAATATGTTGAAGAATATTTATGTTAGCTTTTCTTTAAAGGTTTGGTAGAATTCAGCAGTGAATCCGTCTAGTTCTAGGCTTTCCTTTGTTGGGAAACTTCTTTTTTATTACTGTTTCAATCTCATTTTTTGTTATAGACCTGTTTGGTTATATCCTCTTGATTAAATTTGGATGGGCTGTAAGTGGCTAGGAATTTGTCAGTTTCTTCTAGTTTGTTTTAAGTACAAGTTTTCCAAGTACCTCCTAATGATTTTGTGCATTTAATTAGACTTTTTGGTTTTTCGAGAAAGGGTTTCTCTGTGTAGCTTTGGTGCCTGTCCTGGACCTAGCTCTTATAGACCAGGCGGGTCTTGAACTCACAGAGATTCACCTGTCTCTGCCTCCCTAGTGCTGGGATTAAAGGCCTGTGCCACCACCACCCCGGTTAATTAGACTATTTTTTTTAAAAAAATAATTTATTCTTATTTTATGCACATTGAGTGTATGTCTGTGTGAGGGTATTGGGTCTCCTCAAACTGGAATTACAGACAGTTGTGAGCTGCTATGTGGGAGATGGGAATTGAACCAGGGTCTTCTGGAAGAATAGTCAGTGCTCTTAACTGCTAAGCCATCTCTCCAGCCCCTAAACCCTTTTTTTATAAAAAAAAAAATTCTAAGTTTGTCAATGTGGGTCTTCCTCTCTTTTTGTTAGTTTAGCTAAGAGTTTTAAAGTAATAGTTTGGTTTAAATAACAAATCAGTAAAGAATTTGGGAAAATAATAATAAATGCACGTGAAATTCCTTGCCTCAGAAGCGAGGAGGAAGAAGACATCACATTTCATGTTGATATTTTTAAAATGCTGACCAGAGGTTAAAGATAAAGATCCACAAAATTAAAGATGATTGCACTAGTCTCATTTTCTAGAAAGGGAGAAAAACATCACATTTAGTAACTTAAATAAACCAGGAAACAGAAAGTATCAAACCGGATGATGCAACGAAGGCTCCTGCTAGTTGTGGGTTGTAGGCTGTCCGCTGTAGCCTGTCTTTAAAGAGCTAAGAGTCTCTATAGGCAGGATTAGGCCTTCCTGAGACCCCTGTGGTGGTTTGTATAAGAATGGCCCCATCAGAATGATTAACCAGCAGGGAGCAGCACTGTTTGAAAGGATTAGAAGTATTAAGACTTTTTTTTTTTGTTTATTTGTTTTTCGAGACAGGATTTCTTTGTGTAGCCCTGATTGTCCCGGAATTAGCTCTGTAGACCAGGCTGGCCTCTAACTCACAGAGATTCCCTTGCCTCTGCCTCCCAAGTGCTGGGACTAAAGGTGTGCGTCACCACCACCTGGCTCCATAATGCAGCTTGTTGGGTAATAAAATATGAGAGGGCATCTTATAACTCAAGAAATGGGGGTATTACCAAGCATCTTAACAATATTGTTAGATTAGTTCATTAATATGGATGAGGGTATAGGCACTGTTTAATGTAGTAGGAATGACTGAGAGTCCACCACACATATTAATATGGATGAGGATATAGGCACTGTTTAATGTAGCAAGAATGACTGAGAGTCCACCACACATATTTGCCTTATAAAAGGAGAGTATATCAACCTCCTCCCATGTGTAAGCTTTCTCAGATACTATTCTACATAAATACTTAGCAAAGGCTCTGAAGCACGGCTTCTATACATTTATTCTTTAATTTGCAGGCTCATGACCCCAGGAAAATGTTTTAAGTCTGTTTCAGTTTCTATGTCTATGTGATGGAAATAATGACGTTTGAGAATTTTGAGAATACATGTCCAT